AATATGATGGACAAAATAAACAGAATGTTGGATAAATTCGACAATGATAGTAATTAGTATAGCCTTTGAGTTATTGTAAATCATTGTTCCAAGAAAGTGTTTGAACAAAATGAAATACAAATGTCATATAATTAACAACGTGTGTGTTTTGCATCATTTACGTAAATACTAGCCAGGAAAGGGGGGAAGGGTACTCCCCTATATTTGATATACGAGTATGTGTAAAGGGTTTTAGGAGTCGTGCGGAACACCCCCACCCAAGTTGGGGAGGTAGTACCCCCCTCCCCCCGGGAATACTAGCAAGAAGTTGATAATTTGCATACGCCTTTCCGAGCTATACAAATAATACGGGGGTAGGCTTGATAAAAGAAGGGCAAGAAAATTCAANGTTGTTTTCTCGTGCCCATAAAATCTGTAGCAACGCCAATTTATTTAATCAGCAAGTTTCGAAGCTCAAGAAATTTATGTCCTGGAATGGGTTTCCCCTGAGTGTCCGTAAATCAATTGTGACCCTATTTGCGAAAACCAGGCTGAAATGCATTTTCAACGCGTTAATAATGTTCCTCAACGTGTTCAAAATGTTCCTCAAAGCAATAACAATGTTCCTTAACTCTTCCACAATGTTCCAAAACAGTGATTATCAGTGATTTTGACAACATTCAAAAGCGTTGCCAACGCTTCAAAATGCATTTTGACATCGTTGTTCGCCCACTTCAAAATGCGTTTGAATGTGTTTGACATCACTGTTTTGATCGCTTCATAATGCGTTGGATATCGTTGTCATTACTTCAGAATGCGCTGTGGACATCGTTGCCTCGCGAATCTTAATGCTTTGAATATCGTTGTCATCATTTCAAAATGCGTTATGTGAAGTCAAAGCATTCCTGCGTTGGAAATTCCTCTCATTGTATCCATTGGACATCAATGTTAATTAAACGGCTCTTCAGATATCGTTCGTTCTCTATGTCGTGGTCGTGACTTAATTGGCGACCATTTATACAAGGATTCAAATTCTGGAAAAATTGATTGCAAACGAACTTGCACAGTACAGAGTCTACTGGTTACTTTTAAGAGCGTTGAAGATTCAGGGAGCAAGTAAATTCATGTTTAGTTTTCCATGCCCATTCTGTGGTATTTTCAACGYACGTCACGCGCTGGTGACCCCGTAAAATACTAGATGAACAAAATGAGTCTATACTAGGCTAAAATAAACCCAAGTGCATTCTTCAAAAATGTGCATTAAACTCCAAGTTGTATTGTCTAGCATTTACAATTAGTAATCCTTTCAGAATTTGAACTCAACGGGAATTATTTGTCATCGTTTTGTCACTCCATCCCTGTTAATTATTTTGTGAGACTTAATACCTTAATAAAAGCCGTCAAAATGACCGCCAAAAAGCTTGAAGTCAACTGAAATCCTGTCCGAAAAACGTTCGAATAGGTAACATAAAACGTATGACTTTTAACTGACAT